CTTAAACGCAGCTCGTCCCGCACCAGCCACCTTCAACATGTGTCCAGAGGCGGAGCACACTTCATTGATCGGTGCAGCTCGTACTTCGTCCAGCAGGTCCTTGCGCGGCGTCATCGTCCAAGCAGCGCCTGTGTCCAACACCCAATAGTCTAGGGGGTGCAGCTCTGCTCCAACTTTGGCAGAGGCGTCTCCTTGCTCCCCCTTGTCTCCTACATGGAAGAATTGGCCCGCGGTGCGCTCCTTCTTCTTCTCCGCACCGCCGTTGCCCTTCGGGTTGTTGTCGGACGAATCAGCGACCATGTTGGCGCCGTTTTTCTGGTTCCTCCGCGCGCCGCTATCCTGGTGACGATTCTGGGGGGTCCATCCATCGGGTTTCTTATAGCACAAAAACCAGGGGTGCCCTTCCTTCTCACAATACCAGCAACTCCCTTTCATTTTGCCACCAGCACCCGACTTGCCCCCACGTCCAGATTTCGCACCGCGACCCCAACCGGTACCTCCTTGTTGGTCGTTGGAGTCGTCGTCTTTCTTTGCACCGCGTCCAGCACCACCGAAGCCACGTCCTCTGCCACGTCGGCTCCCTTGCATCCCGTAGCCGCTGCTGCCGTCGTCTCCACCCCTCAGTTGGCGGCGACGGAAGTCCTCCTCCAGAATCTTCGTCCGCACCCACTCGAGCGTCCACAAGCTCTGGTTCTGCGGCAGGCTCAATCCGCTCGTAAATTGAAGCCACGATTCCGGCAGCAGCGAGAGCATCTTCAAGCACTTGGTCTGCTCCGGGTAGGTGATTCCCGCGGTCGCCAACTTCGCGTAGAGGTCGCGCATCTTGTCCAGGACTGGTTGCACCGGCTCTCCCTCGCTCAGGCGCAACGCGGACAGCTCCCTCTCCAGCATCAACGTTGCGACAACGGAGGTCGGGGCGTGCAGCTCCTTCAACACGGTCCACGCCTTCGGACCGCATTCAACCTCCGGCAGCAGGTGCATGACGTGGTGACGCTGGTTCAGCTCCAAACTCTGCGACATCAAATAGTAGCCAGCCGAGGAGCGCTCGTCCCAATCTTCCTGCAGCGTGGGGTCACTCGGTCTAGGCTCCTCCCCAATCATTAGTTTCAGCAAACCGATCTGACGGAAATATAATTGCATTTTCCAGGCCCAATCATCATAGCCCTCACCATTGAACTTCTCGACGGTGAAATTCTTCAGCACCTCCTTGACAAGCGAGCCCTGGTTTGTTCGCGCTCCCCTTGGCGCTGAAAGACCAGAATCTTGGCTGCCGCTACAATCTTGGGCTGAAGATTCACCAGCTCCCGCCGAGGTGTTGCCCGCCATAGCTACCTATAACGAGGATCACTATAACGCAGCTCTGATACCAGCTTGTTGGTGTAAGGGCCTAATAAACTCAAGCTATTAGGACTTAATCAAACTTAAAACCTCTCCTCGGGGTCACCTCCAAGGGTCCCTGGGTGCCTGGCACAAGACCAGCCCCTATCCTCGGGTCCGAGTTTGTAGAGAGAGGGATCAAGAAGGACTTAGTCAAAACAGCAAGAGTACCTTGAACGTCGCGCAGCGTGCCGTGCAGACCGTCGGTCGGATTAAGCTGAGAATTCGCTATATCGAAGCTCGCTCCAAGAGCTTTAAAATGAGCCAAGTTGCCTCGCGAAAAGTTCTGCCATTACTAAGTTATGGCTCGGACAGCGTTTGCCTAGCGTTGGAGTGCTAGCATACTAGCGTTGAAGTGCTAGCATACTAGCGTTGATTCGGGTAGCATTCCGCCGTCGAATAGCGCAGAAACGAAATTCCAGCGAGGAAGGAATTCGCTTGAATCAATTTTTACTATATTCAGGTACAAACAGAGAAGGATTAAATAGTTCTAGCTAGCAAGGACCTTGGGAATCAACCTGGGAACAACCAGGGATGATCCCAAATAATTCCAAGCAACAGAACCAACCTGGCTGGACAAAATAGCTGGTGGTAGGTTGGTAAACAACCTCTGGTTCTGTTTTTCCAACCTGGGAAAACAACAACCAGGTTCAGGTTCTAAAAACAGAACCTGTTTTGTCTTTGCCCAACCAGCCAAATGCTGGTTCCGCTGGTTTCCCCTGGCCTTGTAGCATGCAGATACAGACAAACAACATCCAACCTTCACCTAAATTGTACCCCTATAGTGCCTTCCCTGCTACACTATAGTTAACCAAACAAAACAGTACAATTCCGAGTTGGATAGAACTGAATCTGCGCAATCAACTCAACCAAACTGCAAAGCTTCCATCTTGGGTTCCTTTGCGAGCTCGTCCTTCCTGCTTGCACTGTTCATAGCGCATACAATGTTGTGCCAAAGCGCACATTGCGCGAGTACCTGCAAATGCATCAAGTGAAAAATGCGAAAGCAAACAAACACACGAACACACCATTCACACGCAAATGCATTCGCACACGCATATTCGTACAAACAGACGGCAGGATGTCGTGCAATGTGCATTTGCACCCAACAAAGACTCACCAGCAGCCAGCAGACTTTCTCACCAAGAGGCTTGCGGATGAGCCTCATTGGCGTTGTGTGCGCATGAGTGGAATAAGCATGAACTAGCATGGAATGACGGGGATGCAGCCGGCAGGCTGAGGGGGAGTGTGTTGGGTGCAAATGCACATTGCACGACATCCTGCCGTCTGTTTGTACGAGTATGCGTGTGCGAATGCATTTGCGTGTGAATGGTGTGTTCGTGTGTTTGTTTGCTTTCGCATTTTTCGCTTGATGCATTTGCAGGTACTCGCGCAATGTGCGCTTCGGCACAACATTGTACGCGCTATGAACAGTGCAAGCAGAAAGGACGAGCTCGCAAAGGAACCCAAGATGGAAGCTTTGCAGTTCGGTTGAGTTGATTGCGCAGATTCAGTTCTATCCAACTCGAAATTGTACTGTTTTGTTTGGTTAACTATAGTGTAGCAGGGAAGGCACTATAGGGGTACAATTTAGGTGAAGGTTGGATGTTGTTTGTCTGTATCTGCATGCTACAAGGCCAGGAGAAACCAGCGGAACCAGCATTTGGCTGGTTGGGCAAAGACAACACAGGTTCTGTTTTTAGAACCTGAACCTGGTTGTTGTTTTCCCAGGTTGGAAAAACAGAACCAGAGGTTGTTTACCAACCTACCACCTGCTATTTTGTCCAGCCAGGTTGGTTCTGTTGCTTGGAATTATTTGGGATCATCCCTGGTTGTTCCCAGGTTGATTCCCAAGGTCCTTGCTAGCTAGAACTATTTAATCCTTCTCTGTTTGTACCTGAATATAGTAAAATTGATTCATGCGAATTCCTTCCTCGCTGGAATTTCGTTTCTACGCGGTTCGTTGGCGGAATGCTACCCGAGTCAACGCTAGTACGCTAGCACTCTAATGCTAGGCAAACATCGTCTGAGCCATAACTTCGTAATGGCAGAACTTTTCGCGAGGCAACTTGGCTCATTTTAAAGCTCTTGGAGCGAGCTTCGATATAGCGAATTCTCAGCTTAATCCGATCGACGGTCTGCACGGCACGCTGCGCGACGTTCAAGGTACTCTTGCTGTTTTGACTAAGTCCTTCTTGATCCCTCTCTCTACAAACTCGGACCCGAGGATAGGGGCTGGTCTTGTACCAGGCACCCAGGGACCCTTGGAGGTGACCCCGAGGAGAGGTTTTAAGTTTGATTAAGTCCTAATAGCTTGAGTTTATTAGGCCCTTACACCAACATGAGTCAGTGTGATGGTGCGGCGTGCTCTGTCCCGGGTGATCTGCAAGCCAAGGTAGCTGCGCAGCTCACTCAGGTCTGTGCACGTGTGTCTCTTCTACAGTTCGGACTTCACCAGGGCAAGAGCCTCAGTGTCAGCAGTGGCAAAGACCAAGTCGTCGACGTACACGAGGATGTAGAATGGCGGCAGCGAAGTGTCGGTGCGCAGAAATAGCGACGGGTCAGCAGTCGAAGGAGCAAACCCAAGAGCCGCAAGTGTAGTTCTCAGTGTGTCGTGCCACTCACGAGGCACCTGGCGGAGACCGTAGACTGGCCGCCGGAGGCTCCACTGGGTACCAGGAGGGAACGACCCAGTGAAGCCACGTGGGCGGCGCAGCCAGATCTCCTCGTGCAGGCTGCCCTGTAAGAAGGATGTGCTGAAGTCCAGTGAGTGAAGCTCGTAGTCACGCTGAGCAGCAATGTGCAGCAGCACCCGAAGAGTGGTCATCTTCGGGGTGGGGGAGAAGGTCTGGAAGAAGTCAACTCCCTCTCGCTGACTGAAACCTCGAGCAACGTAACGAGCCTTGAAGACAGACGGAGAACCCGACGGCCGCTTCACCCTGAAAATCCACATGCCATCAACGATGTTCGCCCCGGGAGGGGGAACCTCATCGACGTAAGTGCCTGTGGACTTCCATGATGCCATCTCTGCGTCCATGGCTGCCTGCCACTGAGAGGAGTACTCACCCGCGATCGCCTCAGCGTAAGAGCGCGGGGTTGGGATGTCTAGAGCATCCGGGTCTCCCTCAGGGGCAAGCAGCATGGCCACGAGATGAGGCGCAGCGGCTGCAAGACACTCAAGGTCCTCCTGCCTGTCCTCAAGGACGTCTGTGCCAAGAGCACACTCACCCCCAACGGACGGAGGACAGACAGACTCAGACTCAGCCACAAGGCTAGCAGGGTAGTTTAGACGACAGGCAGCAGCAAAGTCAACAAGCTCAGCGACCAAGGCAGACGCAGCAGCAGACTCAAACGACGGGTCAGTGACAACAGTGGCTAGCAGACGCGTGACAGTAGGGTGCTCAGCACGAAACCGGTCAGACTCAGAGTCCGCAATGTCAAGCAGAGAGGACGCAGGGGGAGACGGCAGAGGAACAGACTGCGGAGCAGAGGAAGGACGACGGACTACGAGGTGTGTGCCGGGGACAGCCGGCTGACGCGGACGAGGAACACGACGACCGGAACGACCAGAGGGGACAGGCGAGACAGGACGCGACGCAGGCTCACGACGCTCAGCAAGACCCCTAGACTGCTCAATGTAAGGAGAAGGAGCAGGCAGTGGTGAGCCAGGCTGTAACGGAAGACCAGTAGACGAAGGTAGGCTACGAACCTGGCGAAGCACAGAGTCAGGCGGCGGCTGTGACGACGGAGACGGCGGCGCGAAGAACAGGCGCGGCTGTGCAGTGCCACCAGCACCAGCAGCTCCAGCACCTCCAGCAGCTCCAGCAACTCCAGCAGCTCCAGAACCCCCAGTGCCAGCTCCGCCAGGACCAGCTCCACCAGCAGAAGCACCCCCAGAACCGGTACCTCCAGTCCCAAGGTCTCCAGCCTCAGTGTCTCCAGCAGCAGCACCCATAAGCACAACGCCTCTAGCCCCAGCAGCTCCAGTACCTCCAGTACGAGCACCTCCGGGACCAGGGACGTCCATAGAAGCACCTCCAGCGGCAGAACTCCAAGCTCCAGCAGCGCGGCCATGACGGCGACCGTACCAGTCGTGCAGCTGCTGGGAGGTGAGAGGCACACGCGGACGAAGGCGGCCACTCCAAGGAGACCGCGCACCAGCAGTTTCAGCACCCTCAGGCGTCTCACCCCCAGACTCAGCACCCCCAGACTCCGCACACGCAGGCTCAGCACCCCCAGACGTAGCACCCCCAGGCGCAGTACCTCCAGTCTCCTCACGCTAGACGCAGCACCGCCAGGCTCCGCACCCTCGGGCTCCTCACGCTCAGGCGCAGCGCCCCCAGACTCCGCACCCCCAGTCTCAGCACCCCCAGGCTCCTCACGCTCAGGCTCCGCACCCCCAGGCTCAGCACCCACAAGCTCCGCACCCCCAGGCTCCGCACCTCCAAGCTCAGCACCCCCAGGCTCCGCACCCCAAGGACCAGCACCCCCAGAGACAGCACCACCCCCAACAGGACCGGAGTCACCAGTGACCTCAACAGGTGCAGGCACGGGAGGGTCTACCTGAGAAACACCTGAAGGAGCAGGACCTGGCGCGGGAAGGGGGTCTACCTGGGGAGGACCTGGAGCGAGGAAGAGCGGCGGGGGGGTGCGAGGGGAAGTACGGTAGGGAAAGAGACGGTAGAAGGGAACGGACTCGTCAAAGGTGACGTCCTGAGATGCAAAGACACGGCGCGAGGCGGGGTCGTAAAACTGCCAGCCAGGCGCGTCAGAGGGAAAAGGAAGACACAGGGAATGGTGCGAGCTGAGAGCCTGTCCGCGGTGGTATCGCGGACAAAGGCACGAGCACCCCAGACCCGGAAACGCGACGCATCGCCAACCTCCCCCGTCCACAGCAGTGTGGGCGAGGTCTCCGGCAAGGAGACACGGGGCCAGAGGTTGAGCTGATGCACAGCGTACCGGACCGCAAACGGCCACAAAAAATGGGGGGCAGCCGCATGGATCATGGAGGTACGAGCAACCTCCATGACTAAGCCAATGCGGCGCTCAGCAACCCCATTCTGCTGCGGAGAGGCCGGAAGCGTGAACGTCTGGCGGATGCCGTGCTCCGCACAGAAGGCTGCCAAGAGGTCGGAGGAGAACTCACCACCTCTGTCAGAGTGCAGACGCAGGACAGGAAAGTCCGACTGGAACCGCTCGCGGAGCTGGAGACGAACAGCACGGATCCAGGGGATCAGAACATCAGGGACCTGACCCTTGCGCTGCAAGGGGAAGACCGTGGTGTAGCGTGTGTAGTCGTCGACAACCAGCAGGAAGTACCGCTCGCGGCCGTGCCCCTGGACGCGGGCGGGGCCCCACACGTCCAGGTGGAGAGTCTGCAGTGGAGCCTCTGTGGGAGGGAACGAGGAGGAGTGAGGAGCGGCGCGCTGCCGCCCCTTGACGCAAGGAATGCAGGGCGGCGCAGGTGAGGGAGGGAGGGCAGGCAGAGACCTGGGAAGACCAGAGACCAGGAAGCGAGAGTGCATGCTAAGAAGGCGAGGCAGGGAGGGGTGACCAAGGCGGTGGTGCCACAGGAGAGTGTCGTGCGACAGGCGGCGACACTCACACTGGGTAGCTACCTGAGCAGACACGTACAGCTGTGGAGACAAAGGGGTGTAGCGTGAAACAGTGGTGAGGGTGTACAGACTGGACCCCGGCTCACGAGTGAACGTGGCCAGGTGGCGGCCAGTCCGAGAGCAAGTGCAGATCGCCACACGCTGCCCTCCAGGAGTCCAGGTGTCAACCCAGTGATCCTGAAGGACGGCGTTGCTCACCAGGTTTGTAGAGAACGAGGGAAAGTGGAGACCTGACAGCTCACCACACGGGACCGCCGGGCACAGAAGCACAGTCGAGGCTCGTGCAAGCACCGGGCCCCCAGAGGGGTCAGCCAGTGAGACAGGGACAGGTGCAGGGAGGGGGGTGACGGTGGTACTGTCACAAAAGAAACAGCGAGAAGCACCAGAGTCAAGTGTAAACGTGTGCAAGGCCTGAGCTGACGCAGTACCAGAGAGGGCAGACTCACTAGCACCTAGGGTTGTAGTCTCTATACCTGGGTCAGGCGGGACACACAAGTAACAATCACCCTCAGCACTAACAGTCAATGCATACATGGTAGCAAGGATTGCATCATAGTCAAGATCATAGATAGGTACATCACGCCTAAGCAGGTCTGCCCAGTTGGGGAACTCAGTGGCATCAGGAAACTTGGCGCGCCAGGCGTCGCTGAGCCGAGCAAAGCAGCGGTACTCAGTGTGAAAGCCGTTGCATGGGCGACCCTTGCGGAGGCCAGTGAGAATAACATAGGGGCAGCAACCAGGACCCCTAGACGCCCCACGCCCGGCATACCAGTCATGGAGCTGCTGAGAAGAGGGGGTCTGGCGCTGCTGCTGCTGCTGCGGCTGCTGCAGGCCCCCACTGGAGCTCCCCTTCTGGCCGGTCCCACTCCCGCCCCCACCTCCACCGCCACCACTACTGCCTCCTCCCCCACTACCGCCGCTGCCACCTCCACCACTCCCGGTCCCACCGCCGCCCCACCCACCTCCTCCACCCCCACGACCACCCCTACCACCTCCACCACCCCCGCCGCCTCCACCACCGCTCCCTCCACCGCCACCTCCACCACCCCTGCCACCCTTGCCGCCCCTGCCACCGCCGCGCTTCCCACTAGGAGCGGAAGCCGCTGCGACCTTCTCAGCACCGAGGAGGTCGACTGCAGCAGCAGCTGAGGTGTGGGAGGGGGCAAGAGGGGAGGGGGAGCACCCCTCAAAGAGGGGAGTGCGAGGAGTGCCACGGGTAGCACCTACAGCGAGGATGTTCTTCTCTGCTGCTAGGAGCTGCTCCTTGAAGTCTGCTAGAGTGATAGTGGTAGGGTCTTTGGCGAGGAAATGGTCCCTGACCGAGCTAAGAGTGTCAGGGAGGCGGGTGACGAGGATGTAGAGGGTAAAGTACAACGGGGGGGTGTTCGTGGCTAGGAACTCGTAACGAAAGCGGGCGTCACTAGCGCGGAGGTGAGAGATGAGGTCCTCAGCGGTGGTAAACGAGGACAGGTCGGGGAACAGGTAGGGCAGGATGAGACGTCCTACGGCTGCAGTGGCTGGGGAGGAATAGCGCGCAACTACAGCGTCATACAGCGCCTTAGCAGTCTTGTGCTGACTAAAATGCGCGCGCTCAGTGATCGGCAGGTGGTTGCGGATAGCGAGGCGCGCAGCAGCATCGCGAGTCTGCCACTGTGAGCGGTCAAGAGCAGGAGCACTGTCAGCAGGAGCAGCGGCAGTGCCAGAAGCGTGATCGAACAGTGAAACGCCGTCTTTGGCATCCGTCATGAGAAACAGCTGCAGGTCGTCAAGCCAAGTGGCAAACTCTATCGGGCGACCGTCAGGCTCAAACGCGAGAACACTCAGTGTCGCCATTATAGCAGTGCAGGCAAAAGCAGTAGGCCAAGGCAGCAGAAAAAGGCGGGCAAGTGCACTTCAGGCAGGCAGGCGCAAGGCAGGCAGGCGCACTTCAGGCAGGCAGGCGCAAGGCAGGCAGGCGCACTTCAGGCAGGCAGGCGCACTTCAGGCAAGGCGCAAGGCAGGCAGGCGCACTTCAGGCAAGGCGCAAGGCATGCATGCGCACGTCAGGCAAGGCGCAGGGCAGGCAGGCGCACTTCAGGCAAGGCGCAAGGCAGGCAGGCGCAAGGCAGGCAGGCGCAAGGTGGGCAGCGTGCGGCTAGAGCGGACGCGCGGCACACGGGTAGGGCAGGGCGCAGCGGCGACGGGCGGCGCACGGGCAGGGCACGCAGCTGCGGGCTGCGCGCGGCTGCAGCGGGCTGCGCGCGACTACGAGCTGCGCGCGGCTGCAGGCTGCGTGCGGCGGCGGGCTGCGCGCGGCTGCGGGCTTCGCGCGAGGCAGCAGCGGGCGTACGGGCGGCTGAGCGCGGCGCGCGAGGCTGCTGCGGGCTACGCGCGGGCTGCAGGAGCGGGGCGCGCTAAAAAAAAAAAAGCGCGCGCGCGCAGCCGAGGCGCGCGCGGGCAGCAGGCAAGGCAGGCAGGCAGGCAAGGCTGTAGGTGAGGTAACGCGGTAACCGGTGGGCCCGAATCTTAGGTCCTAAGGACCTACTGCTCTAGATACCATCTTAGAAACTAGACATGGGTGAGTGTTGACTATCGAGAGAATGGTACAAGAAGAAAACCCTAAAAGGTTAAACCCCACATTATCTACCCCACTATAGCCTACCCACAAATATAACATAGGCATATGTTTGACAGTATCCCCTATCGCGATCGTCACGACCCCGTCGGCTTCGTACTGCGTCGACGCGTTCTGCTGCTGCGACTACTGCGTCAACTACTGCCCGTGCATTGCGATGATCTCCGCGATGTCCGACTTTAACCCCTCGAGGTAGCGATCGCGCATCTCTGCTTCCGTGATGTCGTCTATTTCCTGTGATGTCGTCTATTTTGTTGCAGATGCTCAAGAACCGTCGTGTGTACTCCTGGACGTTTCCTATCTGTCGGAAATGACGCAGACGCTTCTTAACAGCTTTGGAGGCGTTCACCAAATTGAACCTACTTTTCAACGCTGCTTCAAATCCTTCCCATGTCATCGGAACCGTGGTAACACCCAAAGCTCAAAGTTGCAGTTGCATGCACCTTGCCCTGTAGACGCCTGTCTAACTGAGCCCTCCGTACAGCAGTCTGGTTAAGTTGGCGCCACCACTCCAAGGCCGGGCCCCTCAGCAGCATTACGACGTACTCGATCCGCTGCTGCGCGTCCGCCTCTTGCACCCCGCTCGCGGCGAAGTAGTTGTTGAGCATGAAGAGCCACGTCCGCACGTTCGCGTTGCATTGACTTGGGTGAAACAACTCGGGTCTCCGTGGCTTGAGTGCGCTTCGATTTTCCAGTAGCGTTTCCGCGCCAGTCGACGTGTTGGGTGCAGGAAATGGTGCGGCATGACCATAGGGGTTACAAGCCAAATTGCGAAGCTGTTGCATTTCGGCGCATACCTGACGATTTTCCAACGTCAATTCTTCAAGTTCAAGCATGAGCTCGGCAAGCGTGTTGCCCATGTCGTGGGGGAGAGCGTGCATGGTTTCGTCTGTGTTCCCATCGACGACTCCAAGTCTGCAAGCCGGCACCGTAGGACGATGACTTCGTTGTTTCGTCGTCGACGGTGGATCATGGGCTCACGGCTCCACCTTCGGACGAGTCATTTGAGTCTAGCGGTCCATATCCTGAGTTGGTGGGTTGTCTCATGTACTCGCCCAGACTTGGCCTACCCCCTCAGTGTCCTTGAGCACTTTGTTGCACCAGAGAGACACCGACCGTCCCACTGGTTGGCTGCTAAGAGGGTAGCAAAGTATGTGGCGAGCACATCAGGCATGGGACTTGTCCTTGGAGGGAAGCAGCCAGTTACACTCACAGGTTACTCGGACTCGTCGTGGGCCGACGACGCTGAGACGCAACGGTGTTGGTGTAAGGGTAGGCCCTTAAGCTATTAGGACTCAATCAAACTTAAACCTCTCCTCGGGGTCACCTCCAAGGGTCCCTGGGTGCCTGGTACAAGACCAGCCCCTATCCTCGGGTCCGAGTTTGTAGAGAGAGGGATCAAGAAGGACTTAGTCAAAACAGCAAGAGTACCTTGAATGTCGCGCAGCGTGCCGTGCAGACCGTCGATCCGATTAAGCTGAGAATTTGCTATATCGAAGCTCGCTCCAAGAGCTTTAAAATAAGCCAAGTTGCCTCGCGAAAAGTTCTGCCATTACTAAGTTCTGGCTCGGAGGGTAATTGCCTAGCATTAGAGCGCTAGCGTACTAGCGTTGACTCGGGTAGCATTCCGCCAACGAACCGCGTAGAAACGAAATTCCAGCGAGGAAGAAATTCGCATGAATCAATTGACTATGTTCAGGTACAAACAGAGAAGGATTAAATAGTTCTAGCTAGCAAAGACCTTGGGAATCAACCTGGGAACAACCAGGGATGATCCCAAATAATTCCAAGCAACAGAACCAACCTGGCTGGACAAAATAGCAGGTGGTAGGTTGGTAAACAACCTCTGGTTCTGTTTTTCCAACCTGGGAAAACAACAACCAGGTTCAGGTTCTAATAACAGAACCTGTTTTGTCTTTGCCCAACCAGCCAAATGCTGGTTCTGCTGGTTTCCCCTGGCCTTGTAGTATGCAGATACAGACAAACAACATCCAACCTTCACCTAAATTGTACCCCTATAGTGCCTACCCTGCTACACTATAGTCAACCAAACAAAGCAGTACAATTTCGAGTTGGATAGAACTGAATCTGCGCAATCAACTCAACCGAACTGCAAAGCTTCCATCCTGGGTTCCTTTGCGAGCTCGTCCTTTCTTCTTGCACTGTTCATAGCGCGTACAATGTTGTGCCGAAGCGCACATTGCGCGAGTACCTGCAAATGCTTCAAGCGAAAATTGCGAAAGCAAACAAATACACGAACACACCATTCACACGCAAATGCATTCGCACACGCATACTTGTACAAACAGACGGCAGGATGTCGTGCAATGTAAATTTGCACCCAACAAACGGTCTACACAGGGTTACTCCTTTAGGCTCAGGTGAGGTGCTATTTCATGGCGGTCGACTCGTGCGTCGTCCGTCTCTGGTTCCAGCTGTGAGGCAGAGGTGTACGCTGCGGCCATGGTCGCCGAGCAGCTTTGCTGGTTGTCGTTCCTCCTCACCGACCTTGGTGAGCGGCCTCGCTCTCCCCCAGTCTTGTTCACTGACAACAGGTCTGCTGTCCTGTTGTGCGAGGAGCCTCGACTGGTTGGGAAGCCGAAGCGCATTCAGGTTCGTTCAAGCCAAGTTGCAGCAGCGTGGCCAAGCCCGGTCCGTGTGGTCTCTGAGGCTAACACTGCCGATATATTGACCAAGGCATTGCCGCCTTGTGACCACCAGCGTTTCTGCACCCAGCTATGCCTTGTGTTTACAGGCTCTCATTTGCTTGTGTAGAGATGCTTTGTCTTGTACTCTTACATCTCACTATAATTGCTATATCTTAGCTTGTCGACTGGCCTTGTGACTCCTTGCTTACGTAGAGATGCTTGTCCTGCTTATTTTATACCACTGCATCTTCTATATTTGCTTTATATTTGCATGTGGCTGTCTTTTGGCTCCTTGCTTGTTTTCGGACTTTCTGGTGATCTTGAGACCCACCCCGAGTTTTGTCTTGTTCTAGTGGACCGGTCTTGTGACCATTGCTTGTTCTTTCTGACTGGTCATGCGACCCTTGCTTTCAGAGAAGTGTGTTGCTTCCACAGGATTACCGTCACCTAGACTATGGGGGTGTGTCAACATATTTTTTTTATATTGTTTTGGTGTTACATTTGTCTTTCCCTGCATGGTTAGGGTTGGCATATATCTAGGGTTGTACTTGTCATTTCCATTCAGTTCTTTCTCAACCGTGGTAAGTTACCACGTTGACACCAGTGACCTTCGCTACCGTGCTGCTCTCAAGCCAGAGTTTCTGGTTGAGACCCCCTCCCCCCCCACCCTCCCCGATGTACATCACTCTCTACTTCCTAGTGACCTGTCTCCCTGACTCCCTTCGCCCCATCGGAGACCACTTCCTCTCTCTCGACCCCACCGAGCTCACCCGAGCCTCGTTTGAGTCACGACTCTTAGAGCCTGAGACCAGAGCCCACGCTGTAGCTGTCTCCCATAGTACTGCCCGCACCTCCTTTTTTAAGAAATGTGCTCCTTCCCTCCTCGCAACTTTTGTCACCTCTGCTGTTGCTGTTGACTTCCTCGGTGCTGAGGAAGCCAGTGCGGCGTCTGCTCCTAGCAGGAGGCGCAACAGGGGTGGGCGTCAGAAGGGTAAGGGTGGTGGGGGTGGCGGCGGAGGTGGCGGTGGCGGGGGCGGTGGTGGTGGCGGTAGTCGGGGCGGTGGAGGTGGTGGTGGCTGGGGTGGTGGGGGTGGCGGGGGTGGTGGTGGCACTAGGGGTGGCGGAGACGGCTTGGGTGGCTGTCGTGGTGGAGCTAGTGGGGGTGGAGGTCAGGGAGCTGCATGCGGGGGCACAACTGGTGGAGGCAGAGGTTCTGGGGGTGGACAGCATCACCAGTCGCATCGACAGGAGACCCTCTTGCCAGAGCAGCTGCGTGAGTGGGTGGTCCAGCGAGGCGGCCCCGGAGAAGGAGGTCGCTTCACCTACGTCAGGTGCACGGGTCCCCGCACAGGAGACGTCTGCAGCAGGCAGGGCCATGCTGAGACTCGCTGATTCTACCGCCTCGAGGACACTCTTCGGACGGAGTTTGGTGAGAAGGCGACGATGCTTGACTGGTTAGGATTGCTCAAGAAGAACATAAATGTATTTTCTCTTGATTTGGACCAAATACTTGCTGGCATGTATGCTAGGTATGCTGCTACTGTTGGTGTTGAGGGTGACTATTACTTGGGTGTGCCTAGCTCTGGTGGTGTAGTGACTGCTGGTGTAGATGCCTGCGAGTCCTCTACCGCAGGTGCAGTTCCGCTGGAGGCTCTGCACACCCTCACGCTGGAATCCTTCGCGTCTTGATGTTTTTTTTGCGACTGCACCACAGTCACACCGCTCGCAGGATCTGTCACTTTGGCCGACCCCTCGGCAGGTCCAGTAGTGACTCGTGACACCACTATTCTGCCGTGTCCGGCGACCCCTGGCTTCCTCACAGGTTTCCACATCCTTTGTTCGCTATCAACTTGGTGAGTCAGGCTGTCCTCCATGATCAGTTGGTCACCACCACTACTCCAGGAGGCAAACTCTTGGCAATCTGTACGGAATCTCCGACTGGCGACCACCTCGCCACATTCACCCGAAGGCCTTGGTCTGGTCTGAACAGACTGCACACTAAGTCTGCACAGGTAGCTGTCTCATGTTAGGTAGCTGCGTCATGCTCGTGTCGGTTACTCACGCACCGGTCTCTCCTCTAGCACCACCGTCTTGGTAACCCCACCCTGCAGTGTCTGCGTCGCGTGCACTCACGTCTCGCATCAGCTCAACCTCTAGCCCCGTGTCTCCGAGCCAGAGACCTCGCCTACACTGCGCAGGACGGGGGAGGTTGGCGATGCGTCAGTGTTCCGGGTCTGGGGTTCGCTTGCCCTTGACCATGATATCACCGCTGGCAAGATCTTTTCTCGCATCGTTCGCTGCGTCTTTCTTGACTTTCCCACCGACGCATCTGGCCGGCAGTTTTACCACCCAGCCACGCGTCGTATCCTGTCCTCCCAGGACGTCACATATGACGAGTCGGTTTGCTACTACCGTCTCCTTCCCGACGTGTCTTCTCCTATCCCCCCACCGCCCCTCTTCCTAGTTGCAAGTTACCCCCCCGTAGACCCCACCCCACCTCACATCCTGCTCCCTTTGGTGTATCTCAGGTCACACCACCCCCCTTGGTTGAGCCTTTGGAGGTCTCCTTAGACCCTTGTAGCCCGGTTGAGGGGGGTGACTCTGCTGCTAACGACATTGCGGCATTTCGCCGCTCCCCGCGCTTGGAGACCCCTCCTGGCTTTCCGCCTCGGTCGTCTTTGCTGCCTCTGCAGCCTGTCGCTGTGGACTGTGGTGCTACTGGAGGTGGTGGCGCTGGAGGTGTGGGCCTTGAGGGTGCTGATACTGGAGGTGCTGGTTCTCGAGGTGCAGGGCCCGGAGGTGCTGCGGAAGGAGGTGGGCAGCAGCTGCCGTCGCGTCCGCAAGAGACTCTCTCGCCGCAGCAGCTGCGTGAGTGGTAGCTGGGCGCTGTGCTGATTCTGGAGGTGCTGAGCCTGGGGGTGGAAAGCCGCTGCCGTCGCGTCCGCAAGAGACTCTCTCACCCCAGCAGCTGCGTGAGTGGGTAGTCGGACGCCGTGCTGACTCTGGAGGTGCTGGTTCTGGGGGTGCTTAGCCTGGGGGTCCTGATTTTGGGGGTGTTGAGCATGTTGGTGCTGAAACTGGAGGTACTGAGCCTGGGGTTACTGGCTCTGGAGCTAGAGACGTTTGTGGTATAGGAGCAAGAGGCGCTGGAGGTACTGGAGCAAGAGGTGCTAGGGGTTCTGGTGCTAGAGGTGTACGAGCTCGAGGTACTGGAGCCTGTGCAGTGGCGACCGTTTTTCTGGCCGCAGCCTCAATCGTCAGTCTTCCGTCCTCCACGGGCCATACTCCTTCCCTTCTGTGTCCTTTGCCTCGCCAGTCTCAGCCACAATTACAGCATGCCTCCCCTGTTCGCGCTGTTCGTTTGGCTCATCGTGTTCGTCCTCCACCTGTCCCTCGCACACACACTATGGGACTTCGTCCTTCCTCTGTTCCACATCGTGTTGCCCTACCGTCTCCTCCAGCGTCCTCTTCTTGACGTTCCTGACCCTGATTCTGACCTTGCTCGTGCTGCTAATCCCACTGTCAGTCGTTGCCTGGCCATACTTGTCACTGACCCTACATTTGAGACTGCTCCTGCGCCTGCCTTAGGCACTGCTCGTTGACTTTGCCTCTGCTCGTTGTCTTGACTACTTCGCGAGTCTTGTTTCTGAGTCTGACTGTCCTCCATCCGTCGAGGATGAGCTTGCCGTTGGCAGTGACGTCCTTGAGGACAAGCAGTTTGAGCTCGAATGCCTTGCGACTGCTGTACCTCATCTCGCTTCCATGCTGCTTGCCCCTGAGGGAGACCCAGATGCACTGGACATCCCGACCCCGCGCTCTTACGTAGAGTACTGCTTTCAGTGGCAGACAACCATGGACGCAGAGATGGCATCCTGGAAGTCCACAGGCACCTACGTCGACGCAGTTCCCCCTCCTAGGGAGAAAATAGTCAATGGCATGTGTATTTTCAGGGTGAAGCGGTCGCCGGGTTCTCCGCCTGTCTTCAAGGCGCGTTATGTCAGTTGCACAAGGATTCAGTCAGCGACAGGAAGTTGACTTCTTCCAGACCTTCTCCCCCACCCCAAAGATGACCACTCTTTGGGTGTTACTGCACGTTGCAGCACAGTAGAACTATAAGTTCCACTCTCTTGACTTCTCCACAGCCTTCTTGCAGGGCAGCCTGCACGAGGAGATCTGGTTGTGCCGCCAACCTGGCTTTACTGGGTCGTTTCCTGAGGGTACCCAGTGGAGCCTCCGTCCACCAGTCTACGGTCCCCGCCAGGCGCCCCGTTAGTGGCACGACACACTGAGGATGACACTTGGGTTTGTTCCTTCAACTGCTGACCCGTTGCTGTTTCTGCGCACCGACCCTTTTCTACCACCGTTCTACATCCTCGTGTACGTCGACAACTTGGTCTATGCTAGTGCTGTAGAAGAGACACACTTGCACTGACCTGGGTGAGCTGCGCAACTATCTTGGCTTCTAGATCTCCTGGGACAGAGCAAGGCGCACCATCACTCTGACTCAGTCACACATGGTGCTGCAGTTCCTGACGCGCTTCCGTTTTTGGTTCTCCTCGTCACATCCCACTCCTCTACCTACGAGCCACTCGCTCTAGCTCCACCTTCTGACGAGTTCGTAGAGCCAAGTGGTCCGTATCTAGAGCTTGTGGATTGCCTCACGTACCTGATGACCTGCACTCGACCTGACCTCGCCTATCCTCTCAGCATCTTGGCGTGCTTCGTTGCGCCCGGGAAGCACCACCCTAAGCACTACCGGACTGCGCAAAGGGTATTGCGTTGCTTGTGCAGTATATCTGGCATGGGGCTTGTGCTTGGAGGACGGGGCCGAGTTGTAGTCATTGGTCACTCTGACGCTTCTTGGGCCGACGACCTAGACATTAAGCGGTCGCCATAGGGCTACACTTTCAGTCTCGGCGCTGGCTCTGTCTCTTAGAAGTCCACCCACTCGTCTTCTGTACTTAGTTCTAGCTGTGAGGCCAAGACCTACACCGGGATATGGGTGCACAGGAGTTACGCTGGCTCACCTACTTGCTGACTGACTTGGGAGAGCAGCCTCGTTTTCCTCTGGTTCTGTATGTTGACGACAAGGCCATGATTGCCTTGTGTCGGAGTAGAGACTAGAGCACAGAACAAAGCACATCGCTCTGCGTTACTTCCTCGCTCGAGAGTTACAATAGAGTGGTTAGCTTCGTCTTGCTTACGTGGCCTCACAGGCCAACACTGCTGATATCTTCACCAAGGCCCTTGGGTCCGAGGATCGTTTTGCACTGCTCTAGGCCTTTTGCCTACAATGGCTCACTCGCTTGCTTACTCTTACTAGGTTGTGATCACTATACTGCTTGCTCTGTTATAACTCAGCATGTGAACTGGCCTTGTAGCCTCTTGCTTGTGCTCGGACTATATGGTGATCTTGACATCCACCCTGAGCTTTCCTTTGTTGCTTTTCTTCACTGGTCTTGTGACTGCTTGTTGTGTGTTGACTCACCTATGGGGGTGTGCCAAAATGATTTACATATGTGTGTAGGCAGTAGTGGTTACCATCTAAGGGGTATGACCCATTTAGGGTTAGGTACTTGTTCCACATCTCTTTAAATGCCAATCATTCCTATTTCTTAGCTTCTAACAATGGTATCATGAGTATATTTCGATTCTAGCCTAGCATAGCCCGCCCCACCCTCTCCCATTCGTACTTCACACCCTACCCGTTAGCGCATGGCACCCGACTCGTTTCTGTCCCGTCCGTCCTGTTGGGTGCAAATGCACATTGCACGACATCCTGCCGTCTGTTTGTACGAGTATGCGTGTGCGAATGCATTTGCGTGTGAATGGTGTATTCGTGTGTTTGTTTGCTTTCGCATTTTTCGCTTGATGCATTTGCAGGTACTCGCGCAATGTGCGCTTCGGCACAACATTGTACGCGCTATGAACAGTGCAAGCAGAAAGGACGAGCTCGCAAAGGAACCCAAGATGGAAGCTTTGCAGTTCGGTTGAGTTGATTGCGCAGATTCAGTTCTATCCAACTCGAAATTGTACTGTTTTGTTTGGTAAACTATAGTGTAGCAGGGAAGGCACTATAGGGGTACAATTTAGGTGAAGGTTGGATGTTGTTTGTCTGTATCTGCATGCTACAAGGCCAGGGGAAACCAGCGGAACCAGCATTTGGCTGGTTGGGCAAAGACAAAACAGGTTCTGTTTTTAGAACCTGAACCTGGTTGTTGTTTTCCCAGGTTGGAAAAACAGAACCAGAGGTTGTTTACCAACCTACCACCTGCTATTTTGTCCAGCCAGGTTGGTTCTGTTGCTTGGAATTATTTGGGATCATCCCTGGTTGTTCCCAGGTTGATTCCCAAGGTCCTTGCTAGCTAGAACTATTTAATCCTTCTCTGTTTGTACCTGAATATAGTCAAATTGATTCAAGCGAATTCCTTCCTCGCTGGAATTTCGTTTCTGCGCTATTCGACGGCGGAGTGCTACCCGAGTCAACGCTAGTATGCTAGCACTCCAACGCTAGGCAAACGCTGTCCGAGCCATAACTTAGTAATGGCAGAACTTTTCGCGAGGCAACTTGGCTCATTTTAAAGCTCTTGGAGCGAGCTTCGATATAGCGAATTCTCAGCTTAATCCGACCGACGGTCTGCACGGCACGCTGCGCGACGTTCAAGGTACTCTTGCTGTTTTGACTAAGTCCTTCTTGATCCCTCTCTCTACAAACTCGGACCCGAGGATAGGGGCTGGTCTTGTACCAGGCACCCAGGGACCCTTGGAGGTGACCCCGAGGAGAGGTTTTAAGTTTGATTAAGTCCTAATAGCTTGAGTTTATTAGGCCCTTACACCAACAAGCTGGTATCAGAGCTGCGTTATAGTGATCCTC